TGCGTGGGTGCCTGGAATGCAGACTCTCCCCACAGAATCATCTGTGGCTTCCCTGCACGAACATCAGCGTGTCTCACCATGAACCTGCTTCCTTGACCCTTCTCGGGCTGGGCAGCTTTAGTTTCCCCGCTAGCCTCATCTCCCAGGCGACATCGCACCCTGTCAAGGAAAGGAGACTGTATTGTCTTGCATGTATGCTTTGGCCTGGCGCAGGGTCACTGGTTGTCTTGGTGTCTGCTAACCTTCCTGACCCTCACTCTCGGCAGCTTGGAGAATGAATAGACACAGATGTGCTGACTATAGATGAAATCTAGGGAAGGACGCTAAAGCTCAGAGACAAGATCATAAAGCCGTTAGACACCCAGGCGGATTCTCTGTATTCTCTTGTGAATCTCTCTCTTCCCTATGGTCTTGCAAGTTTGTTTTAATTAGAAGCAATGTGATAACATCTTTTAGGGAGGAAGGAAAGGCTTTCTTCAAATTGTGAGCTCCGCCTAGATTTAGAAGCTACAGTGTTCATGTGTTTTAAAACACATCCTTTTGGAAGGAAATTGTCTGTATATTCAGTGCAATCCAGTCTCTCGAATAGTTTCAATGCCACATTTTGCAGAAATAGAAAAAAAAAAAAAACCTTGAAATTCATGTGGGATCTAGAAAACCCCTTTACAAGGGAGATACGTGAGGACCTGTGGATCTGGCGGAAAGGCTCTGGGGCAGAAAGATCTTCAGACCTATGCTTGGAGGCCAGCCCACTCAAGAGTTCTTTCTTCCTTTTCTTTTCTTTTCTTTTCTTTATATACTTTTTTTTTTTTTTTTTTTTTGGTTTTTTGAGACAGGGTTTCTCTGTGTAGCCCTGGCTGTCCTGGAACTCACTCTGTAGACCAGGCTGGCCTCGAACTCAGAAATCTGCCTGCCTCTGCCTACCAAGTGCTGGGATTAAAGGCGTATGCCACCACTGCCCGGCTCTTTCTTCCTTTTCTTCCTTAATGAATCTATGTTCTTCTGTGCCTGCCCTGCCTTGCTTTCCTTGATGTCCTTGAGCATGAAACAGTGAACTTGGACACCGCTGGCTCTGGGTGGCTTTGGGGACCACTGATGGTCCGGCACTCCAGTCATGCTCCGCCTCTTGCCTCCTCAGTTAGCCTCCCCTAGAGCCCAGAAAGATTGTGGGGAAAGACCTCTATCCTGTCTCAAAAGAACCCAGATCAACGACCTCTCACGAAGGACCTAATGAAGCAAGCACTGAGTGCAGCTGTGGGAGCCAGTGGCTCTCCACAGGACGGGAGAGGCTGTTCTGTTATTTTACTTGAGTTTCTTTCTTCAAATTATGTGTCTATGTGTGTGTGTGGAGATACATATACACATATATGTGTGTGTGTGTGTATGTGTGTATATGTGTTTGAATATATATGTATGTGGGGGGGGGCCTATGTATATGTATATGTATATGTATATGTGTGTGGCTGTATGTACACTCATATGTATATGAGTACAGGTACCTGTGAAGGCCAGAGGTATCAAATTCCCCTGGAGCTACAGGCTGTTGTGAGCCTCTCAATGTGGGCACTGGGAATTGAATTCAGGTCCTCTGAAAGCTCAAAACATGGTCTTAGCCACTGAGCTGTTTCTTCAGCCCTAAGCTGAGGGTTTCTTATCCTCCTGCCTCCACTTCCTATGTAACTAGAGTTACAGATGTGGCCACCGTATTTATTTTATGCGGAGTGAGGGATCAAACCTTGGACTTCACACCTTGACTAGAGATGCACTCTACCAGCTGAGCTCAGTCCTCAGCCCTCTCTGTCCTCCCATGAGCTTGTATCTCCTCCTTCCTTTAACCCTTTCCTTTTTCCTTACCTTCTCTGTTATTGTTGTTGTGGTGGTGGTGGTGGTTGTGGTTGAAACACTTTATTCAGAGGCTCGGGGAAGGTCGGAGAAGAAAGCACCACTCACAGAGGGAAAATGTTGAATCAGTTAGAGCCAAGCGTCAGGTTGGCATCAAAACGCTTCTCCCAAATCTAACACTCAGAGCCGGTCTTGGAGCATCAGGAAATCGGGGCGAGTCGTCACCACAGGATCCTTTGTTCTTGCAGACTTTCTGTTTTGCCTGATGCTTTGCCCTTTGGTGACCAGATGGGAGCAGAGCATCCCTCGTTGATTGACAACACTCATTGTGATGATTAGTGTTCTTTGCAAGGTCTGGGAGCTCAGAGCTGGGTCATTAGTGTCCGTGCTGGACAGTTTTATGTCAGCTCGACACAAGCTAAAGTCATCTGAGAGGAGGAAACCCGTCGAGAACAAGCCTCCATCAGATCAGGCTGTGAGCAAGTCTGTAGTAGGACGTTTTTTAAATTAGTGATTGATGAGGGGGCTCAGCCCATCATGGGCGGTTCCATCCCTAGGCTGGTGGTCCTGGGTCCTCTAAGACAGCAGACGGAGCAAGTCATGGGAGCAAGCCAGTAAGCAGCATTCCTCCATGGCCTCTGCATCAGCTTCCAGGTTCTTGCCCTGTTCTAATTCCTGTCCTGACTTCCTTTCATGATGGACTACAATGTGGAAGTGTACGTCCAATAAACCCTTTCCTCTTCAGCTTGCTTTCTGGCCATGGTTTTTCATCGTAGCAATAGAAACTCTAACTGAGTCAGTGTCTAGGATCACACACTTAAGCCCCTGATACATGGGGCACTCTATGGGAAAAGAGAAAGGGAAAACGAGGGAGGGAAGAAGAAAGGGGAGGGATGGGGCAATGAGGGAGAGGCTAGTCCCTGGAGCTGCCTGAGCATGGGGGCTGTGCCCCCCTCGCCCTGCCTCTTCCCAGCACTGGTGAGTGACAGATCTAGACGGAGCCTGCATGTCTGTGTTCTTAGCTGGCGCTGGACCTCCCGGCCTGGGACCACACACTCGTGAGCCTGGGTAATTGCAGCCTGCCAGCCAAATCTAGCCTGCCCTTGTTTGTAAATAAAGTTCCCGTGGAACCTGCCCACAATACAGTAGCAAGATGAATGGTTGGAACAGAGACCGTATGGGACTCAAAGCCCACGACCAAAAAGAGAGTGCCAACTTCTCTGTAGCACTTCATTCTCCTGAGCATCATGGTGCTAATTACAGGCACCGGCCCCTGACCCTCCGCTTTTACCCCCCCCCCCCAGGACTCTGAGAGCCCTTACTGCCAACGTGCAGATTGCGCAGAGCATTTGGTCATGTTTCGTGGGGGGACTAAGTGTGAGACCAGTTACCTCTGCAGAGTTCCATGGAATTTGGTATACTGGTAACATTATTCTCTGTGGTGTCACCACTCACCAGAGATCGGGCGCAGACAACGGGCCACATTCAGATCAACTGGCTTTGGTGAGCCAGTGAGTCTTTCGGGGTTCCTTACAGGAGCTAGGAGAATTCAAAAGCAGCTGTGTCCATAGTGACAAGTCACAGGGGCTGCCTAATGCTGTCTAAAGTCAGTCTTTAGACATAGTTTAACACCGACCTTATCTGCAGAGTCTTCTGGTCTGTCCCGGTTCTGCTAGCTTGGTCATCCATCCGCAGTGTGAAGGTGCCCCCTAGTGGATAAACAGAGGTAGTCACCGTGCATGCAGACAGACTCTGAGAAACAGAAGAGATGAAGGACTGACTGGAAGAGAGTCCCTGAGTCTAAAGGGGAACACTGAGCGGGTGTGGGGAGCCAGCAGGTTGGAGTCAATGTGGTTCCCAGAAGGAAATGCACCTTTATTTCTCTTACGGTCTCCAGCATCATGTATTAATAACCTGATTTGTTTGGGGAAAATATGTCGGAAGCAAAACACTACATGTGTGCGTGCATGTGTGCATGTATACATATTCTCTGAAGCAGAGCGTGTGGGGTGTGAAACAGGAGCTGGCAGATGTTTTCTGTGAAAGTGACTATTTTGGGCTTCATGCAGGAGGCTGTCTTTTAAGCATGAAATCACAGGCCACGGGCAAGGGTAAGTCTGTCGTCTGCATGAGACGGGGGGGGGGGGGGGGGGGGGCCGCGTCGTGGCTCCGTTAGTAAAGTTCCTGTCTCGCAGGCCTAAGGACCTGAGTTCCAGCTGCAGCATTCACATAAAGAAACAGGCATAGTGTGTGCAGGTGTGGGAAGGCAGTGACAGGAAGTGAAGAAGTGACAAACCCCGGGTGCCAGTGAGAGACCCTGAGTGGCTTCTGAGGAACAACACTACACACACACACACACACACACACACACCACCGATACCACTACCACCATCATCACCATCATCATCAATTGATTCAGGCCATGAGCTGTATATAGTCACAGTCATCGTTGGTCAACTATGTTCAATCAGTCCTGAATAGTGTGTTTAAGGTTTAAGGATACAGTGCCTCTCCTATCTGTGACCTAAGTGCCCGGCACCATGCATGATTGAGAGTAGGTGCTCAGGGAGCACGTTGCTAACTGAGATGACTCTGACCTCTGTAACATAGCAACTTTGCTGCAGAATTTCCCAGAATGCACGCAGGGACAAAAAGCGTGCTCTCGGAATTGGTCATTTAAAGCATCACGGTAGACAGGGACTGGCTGCCATCCCTGCTTTCTTTACTAATCTGTCTCTGTCTAAAATGATCCAGGCTGTGATGTGAGAGGCCAGTAGGCCAAACTGCTTTGTTTAGCACAAAGAAAGCCACCCTGTACAAAAGGGACGGGGGAGGCTAGCCTGAGTGACACAGCACTACACAACCAAAGCCCCACAGACTCCGGGGGCTGCCTCCTGGAATGTGATACACATGCCCACTGCTGCAGAGCTTAGAGATGTAGTGTAAAGAAGGACTTGTTTTGAAGATTTATTTTTTATTATGTATATTGGGGGATATGTTCACATGAGTGTACATTTTCGGGTGGGTGTGCATGGGTATGTGCATCTGTACAACATGTACAGCAAGTTGTAATGGGCACTTTGACTAATGACTTTCTCTGTGTTCCACTCTCTTTCTTTCCTTTCCCGTCTCTCTGCACCACCTCTGCTACTTTGCAGGTCTTGGGACTGCTGGTGTGGACGCTCATTGCTGGCACTGAGTATTTCCGAGTCCCTGCTTTTGGCTGGGTAATGTTTGTAGCTGTCTTTTACTGGGTCCTCACCGTCTTCTTCCTCATTGTCTACATCACCATGACTTACACAAGGATTCCCCAGGTGCCCTGGACCACAGTGGTAAGGATACCTCAGGGGTGGCATCTGCCCAGGGCCATGAGGTGGGGCAGGAGGTGTCTTCTTGTGGATTTGGGGGTCACCTCTGCTCACATGGGGTGGGCCCATGCTGGAGAAGCCAACAGCAGTATATGGTCCCTGCTTCCCCCTTGGTCTGAGTGTAAAGCCAGAACTCCTAGGAACAAACAGGTTCCCAGACAAACTGAGTCAGGGGAAACTGGGTTCTGTCATGATTCACAGTGCCACCTGCAAACAGGTGTGTCAGGGCACCGATGTCTCCTGATCTTCCTCCCAACTCTGTGCGTCACAGTTCTGTGTGCATGACTAAAGAAAAAGGATCCTGACAGGGGCTGTTAAAACAAACACGTGGCATCTGGGTGAAACCGGAGTGCGGGAAGCCTTGGTCTCTATGCCCTGTAGCGAAGAAAACACAGTGTGGTAGATGGGTCCTGGAGTGTAGCAGTGGCCGAGCACCCGCCTGCCATGTTCGTGGTCTTGTATTTAAACCCCAGCACCACAGAAACACAGATAAAATAAAGAGAGTGTCTTCCCACTTGCAAACAAGAATAGTTAAGGGGTTTGGATTAATGTCCTGGCTCCAGAGAGCATGCCATACACAGGATAGACCATAGTGATCACATAATCTTCTGGCAAGAGCCTGCCTTGTGGTGTGTGCAGTCTGGATAGGGAATTGAAAGTGGCCATATCAGTCAGGAGTGCTTACCTGGCATGCGCAAAGCCCTGGGTTCAATACTCAGCACCACATAAAGAGGCATGATGGTTCACCTCTATAATGTCAGCATTGGGAAGTAGAGGCAGGAAGATCAGAAAGTCAAGATCATTTTCAGCTACATATGGAGTTGGAGGCCAGCTACATACAATACATGAGGCCTTGTTTCAGGCACACAGACACACAGACACACAGACACATAGATAGGGTGGCACATGCCTAAAATTCTAGCAATTTCAGAACTTGGGAAACTGAGGCAAGGAGATCTCAAGTTTGAATCCAAGCTGGCCAAACTAGTGAGTTCAAGGTTATCACTTAAAATAATAATAAATTTATTTTAAAATGGTACCACATGTACATGTGTATAAAACAGAACTCAAAAGACATACTGGTTTACTATGTTTGTTTCCAACTAACACACTCACACACACGCACACTGGCTTGATGCACACAGACACATACACACACACACACCTCTCTGGCTCGATGCCTTGAAAGCCATCCTCCTTGGGAGCTGAGGCCTGAGGGCTCTCACACACTGCTGTCATTGTTCAAAGTGTACCTACCTGCCCCTCGTCCTTCTGGGCTGCCTGTAGAGTTCAAGTAAACTCAACCAGAGACAAGTCTCCTTTTACTTTTCAAAACAGAATCACTTGTGATTGTTTTCCCGCACCCCAAAGCGAAGATTCTCCATTGGCATTTCCAGGCATCCGTGTCTGGGTCTGAAAATTGATCCCAAGCAAGGTGCTTGTGTCCATCCAGGAGCACACAGGTGGCCCTGAGAGTCAGTGACCTGATTCCCCAAGGACACTGGGAAGGGCAGACTCATTTGGATGTTAGATTCAAAAATAGCTGATTCTTTAGTATGATAGTAGCTGTGATAACCCAGGAGGGAGAGGACAATAAAGTGAGTGAGGTGGGGCTAGCTGTATAGCTGTATAGTGGGTAGAGTCTTTGCCTTGTGTGCATGAAGCCCTGGGTCCGATCCCCAACACCATATAAACTTCATGTAGTGCACACCTGTAATCCCAGCCCTCAGGAGGTGAAGGCTAAAGGGCTCTCAAATAAACAATAAGTTGGAGGCTAACCTGGGCTACATGAGACTTAATGTCAAAATAAAAATTAATGAATACATATAAATGAAAGGAAAGAGATTGTCCCTTCCTGTAGCTGAGACTTTGTTAACCCTTGCTGGCCAGAGCTGGAGACATTGTAGGAGAGGAAGGGAATGCCTGTGGGCTAGCCAGCTCTGTCTCCCGCACCCTTCCCTCCTCCCTCTCAGCAGCCACCAGGGCTGGGGCCTGTTCCTCCCTCACTAGACCTTTCCCGGCCACTTGCTCCTAGGTGAGCCTTATGCTCAAACATGGCTCCTGCTATAGAAGAGGACATGACATACCCAGCCTCTGGCTCATGCCTTTGACACCGGGAGAGTTCTTGATCCCCTTGCCCATGCACCTTCTAGCCCCACAGAGAGCAGAAAAACGCTGGAGGTGACCGGTGTTCCCGGGCTGGAAGGAGGCAGCCAGACTGGCTCTGACTGCTTCAGCTCGTTCCATGATAGAGGAACAAACTCTCAAGTTACTTATTCTGGATCACATGTCTCAAGGAGAACTGTTTGGGTCTTACTGTCTGCAGACCTGCTGTTCCTGCAGATATCTATAGGACTTGTTTGAGGTGCCTTCTAAGGGGCCTTTTTGTCTTCAGAAGTGTAAAGGAAGTGGAGAATCAGTTCTTACCCATGATCCCCACATCCAGGAGGCTGAGGCAGGATGGTCTCCAGTCCCAGACTAGCCTGGGCTACAGAGGGAGACTCGAATACCAAAACCCAAGGCTGACTAGATGGCTCAGCAGTGAGAGGTGCTTGCCTCCAAAGACTGACGCTCAGGGTTTGATCCCTGGGACCCACTTGGTAGAACGGGGCCACCAAGTCCCAAAAGTTCTCCTCTGACCTTTCACACACACAAGCACATGCATATACACAAAATGAATAAATATAATTTAAAATTCTTGATCTAGGAAGTACTATGGGTAACCGAGTACCATCAGGCCAGTTTAAAGTTTAAATCTGGGGGCTTCGTGGTTAAAAGCATTTGCTGCTCCTTGCAGAGGACCAACCCTCAATTCCTAGCACCCACATGACAGCTCAAAGGTGTCTAACTCCAGGTCTAGGTGATCTGATGTCCTCTTCTGGTCTCCAGGGCAGGCATGGCATATACACGACACACAGATATATTATATTCAGACAAACACCCACACATTAAGTAAAAGAAGAAGAAGAGGAGGAGGAAGAAGAAAAGCTTGCTTAGGTTGGGGCCCAGATGGTTCAGTTGACAAAGAGCTTCCCACACAGGCTGGAGGGTCTGCGTCAGATCTCTAGCACCCATAGAAAAAGCTGCAGTGGGTGGTGAGATGGCTCAGCAGCGGGTAAAGGTATTTGCCACCAAACCTGGCAGCCTGGGTTTACTCTTGCACATAGAAAAAAACAAACTCCTGAATGTTGCCCTCTAACCTACACACACACACACACACACACACACACACACACACACACAAAGTCAC